AACCCCACACTCACTCACACTTATGATGCTACCTAGCTGGGTAATGAAATGTCTACAAGGAAACAACCAAGGTCAGAGATTATCAAGGACTCCACAGTTCAACCCTGAGCTACATATATTCTCTTCTATTCAAAGAAACATTATCATGCTAAGGGCATCTCCAAAGAGCAGATGTGTCCAGAGGGGGAGTTGTGACCACCATTTTGACTTTTTTTTATTTCCCCTGCAGATGCCCCTGACAATGATGACTGTCTACCAGTCTGAAGTACCTCCAGACCTCCATGATCCCACAGAAATTGTGAGACCTAACTCAAATTATTCCTGGCTCAGCTGTGATATATTTAAAACTGCAACAAAGCTAGTATTTTCTTTTGCAGCATTTTGGAATGTTAAGCTTGTGGGAGGTCTGTTTTCCTCACTGGCAAGAACTCTTGCCTTCCAAATTTTGAACTCAAGAAATTCATTATTCTTCCCTCACCCCGCTACCCCCCCGACTCCCCGAGCTTCTGTTTAGAATATATCTCTTGGGAACTTCTGTTTCAAGCAATCCTTGGGTAAAAAACCAAGCAGCAATCTGGTAATTTGCAACTGGCAAGGCAAAAGAGAAGAGGGAAACAGACAAAACATTTATCAATTTCACCTGTACTCACTCTGAATTATCCAGGAAAGAAAAGTTGAAAGGATCTACAGTTCAAAACATTTAAGACTGTGTTTTCTACTTTGGCATCATGACAAATAACCATTGTTAGAGTTATTGTGAAAAGTTTCCTGGCTACAAAAATGTTGACAGGCCTTTTGGCTTCAAAACCTGCAGTGGCTTTTAATAGGAAGAGAAGGAATGGAGCCTCTGCAGGCAGCTAACTTCTTGCAACAACCATTATGGGTTATAGGGAGTTTTGGGTTTTTAGCAGTGGGACAAATGCACAATATATGCACAAACATGGTTGTGGGGAGGGAGGGAGGGAGGAATTTTTGTTCCTCCAGGAGCTACAGCAACTCAAGGGGTGTTGGGACTTAATTGCCAGCTTTTTCATTCCCTATGGGTCAAGCTGGAGCATTTGAGATCAGCAGAAATAAAGCTAATCAGGGTTATACTTCAAACTACCTTTGAGGGATTGGAGAGTGAAAATAATGGCAGTGTCAAAGTGCAGTAAGTTCAGTAAATGTTCATACCAGCCTAGAAGATATATTCTTATGAAATAAAAAAAGCAAAAACTATATCATAAGAGACCATACAATCAATAACTTAGTAATTCTTTCTCTTGTAAAGGGGAAACTGTTATTGGAATCCACCTATTGCCCTGCCAACCTCATATTGGCTGTTACTGAAGTCAGGGTTTCCCAATATCTAAAGAAACCAAAAGAGCTTGAAGGTCTTGGCCAGGAGGCAGTGCAAGAAGCAGCTTTGGTCATCCTAGCCCTACATACCTTGACACTAAGGGGCAGAATTTTGGCATAACAGTATAGTGCTGCAGTTAAGGCATTTAAAATAGATTAGGGAGAGCCACATTCAAGTCCCCATTTGGCTATGGAGCTCGCTGGATGACCCTGAGCATGTTCACTGTCAACCCAATCTGTCTTTTGTCAGGCTAAAATGAAGTGAGATGCCCTGAACTCTCAAGAGAAATGGTACAGTACAAATGTAATAATGAAAAATAAAATAACAGACCATCAGGCTTGACAACAACACATGACAATGGCTACTAAAAAAGAAAGCACTTGCTACCTAGTCATTATTGCAAGTGCACAAGCCCTTGTTTTAAATCTTTCTTACAGAATATTGGGAAAAGACTAAAAATAGCCAGTTTGGGATAGTCCACCCAGAGGATTACTATAAGAACTCACTGATCATTTTTGCAGCAGGTACGCATCTGGAGACACGGGAAGAAGCCACTATTGAGGAGTAATATATCTGCTCTGCACATAGAAGCCTTCAGGTTCAATTTGTGGCATCTCCAGTTAAATGGGAACTGGGAAAAAAATCTTTGAATCCAACATCATTAGCATTTCTGGCCCAGATACTGGACAGCTGAATATGCTCAGCTACTGTAGACAGAGCTATGTATCAGGCCAACACTTGCATCTATAACTGCTCATTTATTATGTAAATTATTCTGCAGTAAAACATATACTGAAAAAAGATAAAGTAATTGAATGTTCACTAGGCTACAATATAAAATGAAAGCTCTCTTAACTGGAAAACTTGCTTTAAAGACTTCAGACATGACCTTCATTTTTATTAAATTTACCAGTAATCAGCTATTAGTATGCCAATTCATTTATTAATTTGGTAGGGCCATCTTTGACAAATTGATAATAATCATGATGAGAGCAAGTCTTACATTCCACTAACACAGCAAATGTTTGAATTCAGTCTGCAATCCAAAAATCAGATTAAACTTAATGCCCTATTTCAGTGTGAATGAACCTTCCACTCCATGAAGCTGATAAAGTTGTAACTCACAAAAATGTATACCTTTTAATAAAACCTGTACATCTCAAAAGTCACCACGAAATTTTTTGGATGCCAAAGACTAACACAGCTCTCCTCCTCCATCTAACATGTTTATAAGTTCCAACAGAAGAGAATATATGTAGCTCAGAGCTTGGTTGTTTGCTTACAGACATTTCATTACCCAACTAGGTAACATCAGCGCGAGTGAGTGTGGGGTTTGCTCTCTGTTCATATACAGTAGGTTGCCCTGCCAGTTTTGGTGGGGGTGTGGTTTTCTCCTTGGTAGTTCCTTAATATGGGATTGTTTTCTGCTTGATTGTTTGTCTGGTGTTAATCCCTGCTTATCTGGGTGTGGCTACTGGGGAGGATGTGTTCTAGTCTTTTTGTTTCTTCTTAGCTTTTTTATTATCTCTTTTGAAAGTTGTGTAAATATGGTTTATTTCTATGAGTCTATTGATGGCTGATTTGTCTGAATGCCAAGTTTCCAGGAATTCCCTAGCTTTTTCAGATGTCAGCCTGGTCTAGGATGCTCACAGTTTCTTAGTTGAAACTGTGGTTGAATCTGTCCATGTATTGTGTCTTCTGACTGCTAGTTGGTGTTCATGGATGCACTCTGCTAGTCTTCTGCCTGTCTGTCCTATGTAGTGGCTGTTACAGTCCTTACACTGTATGTTGTTGTAGATGACTCCTGTTTCTTCTTCTTGGGCTACTGGGTCTTTTGGTTTACTTAAGATGTTTTGGTGGGCTTTAGTTGGTTCGTGTGTTATGGTAGTGCTATGTGGTTGTAACAGTCTGGTTGGTTGGTTGGTTTGGAGATGTTTTTGATGCATGGCAGTGTTATCATTTTCATAGCTTGTGTTGGTTGTGCTGTAGTGAGCTGAGTCGTCAGGCACTTTTTGATAAAGTTGTGTGGGTATCCATTTTGTTGGAAAATGTATAGGTGGTCTGTTTCCTTTTTCTGGTGTTCTGGGTTGCTTTAGTGTGTTTGTACTCATCTGAATAATGTTCTTACACAGCTCCTCTTACGGGAGGTTGGGTTGTTACTTTGGTAATGGAGTACTTGGTTAGTGCGGGTTGTTTTTTGATAACTTGTGTTTCTAATTTGCCATTATTCCTCTGCTGATGAGGATATCCAGGAAGGGTAGTGTGTTGTTTTCTTCTTCCCTTGTGAATTTTATTCCTTTGAAGATGTTGATTGTTTCATGTGTCTTCTCTAGTTTTTCCTTTTTTATTATGATGATGGTGTTGTTTACATACTGGATCCATACTTTTGGTTGTATGTGTGGGAGTGCTATAGTATCCAGACGTTGCATTACAGTCTCTGCTGTGAGCCCTGAGAGTGTTGATACCATGGGTGTTCCTCTGATTGGTTGGTATATTTGTCCATCAAACTAAAAGTAGGTAGTGAGGCAGAGGTTGATGAGGTCCATGAATCTGGGTATTTCGATCTTAGCATACTTGGCTAGGTCAGGTATGTTGTGCAGTATTGCTGCCATGGGATTCTTTCACTAGGTCTGGATCTATGGACATAAAGAGTGCTGTGACATCAAATGAAACCATAACTGAATCTTCTATTTTTAGATTTTTGATTTTCTGGAGGCACTGTAATGGTGAGTTGATAGACTATTTGCTGCCCTCTGTGAGATGTCCAAGTTTTTTTGTGAATTCTTTGGCTATGTTGTATGTTGGGGTCCTTGGTAATGATACAACTGGATGAAGAGATATGTCAGACTTGTGTATTTTGGGGTGTCCACAGAAGCGTAGGAGGATGGGTCCACTGCTTTTCATCCACCACTGTTCTTCTTTTGTGATTTGACCTTTCATGGTTAAGTCATTGAAGATTCTCTTGATCAGGTTGTCCAGTTTCTGAATTGGGTTGATGTTTACTGGGATGTAGGTTTCTTTGTCCTCCAGTAATTCTTTGGCTTTTTGTATGTATTGTGTTCTGACCATGATAACCATGGTTCGGCCTTTGGTATTGGGAGGATGCTGATGGTTTGGTCCTTCTTTAGGTTTTTGAGGGCTGCTCTGTCCTCTGCTTTGAGTTGGTT